TGGTTCCAAGCTTAGTTAGGGTGGTCTACAATGGTGTACTGTGTACTGTATATTGACATGCAGCATACTATGCTATGGTATGGTACATAGTGGGAGTACGGCCCCCCACCCCCCTCCTCCCTCAAGGGCTAGCGCACCCACGCCTGCGCCTTTCTCATCCAAACCTTTGAATTGACCCTAACGTCCTAGTAAAGCCTGTGGGTACCTACTGCACTGCGCTGGAAAAATGGAGTACATATGTCTGCGACTGAGGCCCCGATATCCTTGGCGGTTTGGATCCCTCGGTGGGGGCGGAGGGGGGGTTCGATGACTGGCTTTCGGGCCCTGCAACCCTAACGGACTGAACAAGGAAAAGTAGTACAGCCCACCCCTGCTGCCTCTGCAGGGGTGGGTTGTAGTATGTTTAACAACCGTGCCAAAGTACACTGCTATCGAAGCTTTATTGTACTATACTACGCCATTTGTAAAGCTGTTACGAGGAAAAGCACTTGCTGCATGGCGTTTCTCACTATTTCTCACTGCTTTTTTAATGTCATTTCTGGAGTTGTGTCAGTTGTGTTTAAGTGAGGCTTGTCGAGTTTTTTCGCCTATGATGTTGTGTTAGGGTCTTGAAGAGTAGACTGTAGTGCTCTGGCAAACTGCAGTCGACCGTAGCAATAGTCTCTAATATGCCAATTTTTGAAAGTGTAGTATCACTTCCCAGCGTGCGAGAATTAGGGGACCCCTGAAATGAGGGCCCCCTTTAGGAATTTCCTGTCATGATATGAGGAACCATTTAGCACGCTGCCAAACAACATCGTGACTAGGTGGAATACTAAAGGGATGTATCAGACCTCTCAGATTCTTCGAATGATGGTGAAAGGGTCGAGGGTTGCTTTCCGGAGTACTGACGACTGCGTCAGCTCAGGCCCCAGGTTTCTTTCATGTGGACTTACAAGAACTTTTTCTTCAGAATAGGTACCTACATGGCATATAAGGTTGTTGAAGAAAGTTCGGTCTTTGTTGGGATAGCCTTATCGATCAGGAGCATCTTACAACAACCCTCAGGAGTAGGCGTTGGTGCCCTATACGAGATATCCCGTTAGGCTGAGGCAACAACCAAAAACGAGACCCCCACAAATATGCTGAGATCCTCGATGTTTACCATGAAGGGGCCTCTCAAGGCGTTCCACGCCCTGTAACCCAACAAGGTCTTGTTTCGAGGTTGGTGACAGGTTCAGGGTTTAGGGTAAACTGAGGAAACCTAACATCCCTGCCCTTTGTACACACCTCATGTATAGGACAAGATGTTTTCACGTGATTTTGGCATGAGCCCAATTTCATGAGAGCATGTTGTGAATTGCAGAACTCCGCTGAACCACCAGGCTCTAAGAGTAGTGGAAAAGTCCGCTTGGTTTTTCATGGTAGCGGAGCTGGGCCGACCCAGTTCCGACACACGTGGTTCACTTTTGGGTCTCGCGTTCAGGGGCCATTGTGCTTTCAGCTTCCTTCTGCTTCGGGGTTCAGGGTCACAGCGAGTTTAGGATCCTGCCATATCGCGGCGCCGAGCCGCGGATTGCTTGCAGCAGCAACGGCTGCCAGTGTTGCTTCTCTTGAGGACATTCGGAAGCGAGTGGCTGAGCTTCACTTTGAGCAACTGCTGAAACGAGACAAGCCAGCTGCTCGGACAGAGTACGGTTGGCAGCATATCCTAGTGACAGCGCAGGATTCTCTTGTGGCAAGGCTGGAGACTTTGAAGACCCCCGAGGAAGTGTGGGCATTCGCACATCGCTGTTTGAGGGATTCACATTTGAAGGACGTTTTTCGTGATTTTGCAGTGGACGACGTTTGTGACGTGGCTGTCCCCGAAGAGACAGTCCGGAGCGTGGTTTTTCCTGAGCAAGAGCACGATCTGTTTGACAAGGATCTTGAAGCCTTTCAGTTGTCATTCAGCTCCAATCAGCCCTCCGGATCTTCATTCAGGAGGTTGCAGGCTGCGTCCGAGCAGCCAATTGATCTGCTTGTGCCCGAGTCCAGCCGTGTAGTCAGCTTTACTCGATCTTTGAAGAGTGGCGAGGCCGCCATTGAGATTGATTGATTGCAGTGCTTAGCTGTTCGAACAATGGCACACGCAGCTGGAACAGGACTTGATGACGAGACAGATGAGGAGTTGACTGGGCCAAGCGTCCCAGCGGCTCCCTCGAACCCTTTTGCCGCCGGCAGTCCCTCGAGTGCAGGCGGGGCACTGACCATGAGTGCCACCGATCTTCAGATCCTGATGCAACGTATGGCTGAAGCCACACAGGCTGCAAGTGCAGCTGCCCAGGCAGCAGCCTACTCTTCTACCGCCAGCAGTTCTAAGCCCTTGGGTTTAAGTGACCTCACTAAGGTGTTGCCCAAGCCAGAACCCTTCCGTCCCTCCACTCGTGACGAGGAGTTTGCTCAGTGGCCTCAGTGGAGCTGGGCGTTCGAGCAATACCTTTCATGTTTGGATCCCAGCTTCGACAAAGAGCTACATGAGTATGCACGCCAGTCCACGCCTGTTCTTCTTGAGTCTTTGAGTGAGCAAGCGAAGGCCCGTTCGAGGATTGTGTATGGCATGCTGAATGGCCTCCTCTATGAAAGGGGTCGTCGCTTGTTGCGCTCTGTGCCATCCCAGAATGGCTTCGAAGCTTGGAGGTTGCTCTCAAATGACCTGATGCCCAAGACCAGGAACCGTGTGCTTGCCCTTCTTCGGACCATCAATAGCTGGCCTAGCTTTGATGCCAAGCAGGGCATTGCTCAGCAACTTTTGCGTCTTGAAGCAGCCTTTGAAGAGTATGCACAGCTTGAAAGGGGTGGACTGCCTGAAAACAACAAAATGGCCACTCTCCTCAGCTGCTTGACAGGCCAACTTCGCCAGCATGCCAACGTGGTCATCTCTGATGACAGCACCTACCGTGACCTGCGTGAGCTGGTGCTCAGGTGGGATGGTGCTCAGACAAAGTGGCAATCCAGTGTTGCCAGCAGCTATGGGCTGCAGGAGGGCAAGAAAGGCCTTCATGATTCCGGCGATGTTGTGCCAATGGATGTCGATCGCGTTGCCAAAGCCGGTCGAGGCAAGTATAAGGGTGGCAGGGGTAAAGGTAAGGGTGATAAGGGTGGTAGGACCGACAAAGGCAAGGCGTGATAAGGGTGGTAGGACCGACAAGGGCAAGGGCAGAGGTGACAAAGGTGGCAAAGCCAAGAGCGACTCTCAGGCGCTGTGTGGGTGGTGCCACAAGCCTGGGCACTTCAAGCGTGATTGCTACCAGTATAAGGCTTTCCTTGATGGTAAGACTAAGGGTGCCAGGCAAGTGCAAGCCTCCACAGCCTCCGATGCCGGCAGTTCCACCACTTTGCCCTCGTCCGCCAGTGCCCTTCAGGCTCAGCAAGGCAAGTCAGATCATCCTGCTGTGCGTCGTGTGACAGCAGAGCCCATGATGTTCGACATGTCAGATTTGGCTGACGTTCTTTCTCTTGAGCCCAATGTCCGCATGCTAACTGTGACTGCGCCACAGAGTTTTCGGATGGATTCCAGTGATAGTAACGGTGATTGGACCTTGCCTTCCCAACCGCAGAGTTTTCGAATGGATTCCGGTGATAGAAACGGTGATTGGACCTTGCCTCCCCCAGATTATGCTGAGCTTGACCTTCAGTCCACCGTTGCTCCTCAGTTTGTCCGAACAGTTTCTAGCCCAAGCCACAGCGTGATCATTGACTCAGGTGCCGACATCTCATGCATCCCCGCGTCCTTTCAAGCGTGCGGTCGCGCTGCCAATGCGAGGCCGCTGCAGGTTTGCGATGCCCAAGGAGGCGCGATGCATGTGCAAGCTGAGCGACTTGTAGATTTCGTGCTGCATGGGGGGTCAAAGCCTGTGGTGATCCGTGAGCGATGCATTGTCGCCAATGTTACACAGCCGCTCCTGAGTCTGGGCCGGCGGACACACAGGGGCTGGTGGCCCGTTTGCAAAGGTGAAACCGCTGGATCAGGTGGCATGGCTTTGGTCCATCATGCGACAGGCGCTGAAGTGCCCTTGCTGCTGAAAGGATACTCGTGGGCGGTGAACGCACAGATCCGCCGTGTTGAGCAGGAGGGTGGCTCTCCTGATTCCCCTCAGCAGCATTCGCAGGTTGCCTCAATCCAAGTGAAGCTGGATCCTGATGAGCTTGAAGCCATTGAGTATGGCTGGCATATCGGTGCCACTGGCCACTTCGTTTGGCGGGGCCGCTCCAGTCGGTTCCTTGATCCCAGCTTGATCGCTCCCATTGCTTGGCCATATCGCAGCACGCTTATGCAGCGAAGCGGTACCTGGTTTCTGCTTGAGCATTGTGTGCCGTGGACTCAGATCCGCGATGTAGAGGCGACGCTTCCCGGAGGACAGGTTGCTGAGGTCATCACTTATCTGCATGTGAAAGTTGAGCCTGTGTCTGAGATCGGTGTGCAGCTCCCTGAAGGCATGCTTGAGCCCGAAGGTCTTCCAGAGCCCAACTTCTACAGCTTTTACCGCAAGCGTGAACAGGACCCGCCTGGCCCTGTTGAGCAAGACCGTGTCGTGCCTGAGGAAGTTGTCATGCAAGGTTTGGAAGATGTTTCTGGTGAAGCTGCTGGGCCGGTACACAGGCCATTGCCCGATCAGGTTGAGGTTGACGAATCCGCTCCTGCCGGTGAGGTTGAGCCAGTGTCGCTTGATGGCGTCGTGCTTTCGGAAGATTCTAGCTTGGCGGTCTTGAAGACTGCAGCCGCCAAGTTGAACCTCAGCACTGCGGCGTCCAAGACCCGTCTTTTCACACGCATCAAGAACTACTTGGACAAGCAGCGGCTAGCCCTCGAGCTTGAGCTGGCCGCCGATGCTCAGACAGTGGGGGAACGGCCCGGAACGGCAGCCCAGGGTACAGCCTGTGCCCCGGGAACCGACGCCCAAGGAGCGTCTTCTCCACGAATGCACTCATGTCCCTTACCAAGCGTGGTGTGAGCATTGCATAGCTATGCGTGCGGTCGGATGGAGTTCCTCAAGCAAGGCCCTCGGGATGTCCCAGTTGTCCAGTTCGACTTTTGCTTCACGGGTTACACCGTAGACAAGGGTATGGTTAGCCTTGATAGTGCGCCGGAGAATGCGCAGCAAGCCCTGAAATGTCTTGTGTGCCACGACTCCGCCACTGGGAGTATCGGGGCGATTCCTTGTGAAGCCAAGGGTGACACTCGGTACCTTGGGATAGAGCTCCAAAGGTTCATTCAGGGTCTAGGCTTTGAAGTGTGACAACGAGCCGTCCACCCTGGCTTTGCAGAAGGCCATTGTGGCTGCGCGGCAGCGTCTCGGCTTGCGAACCATCACACAAAACCCTGCCATTGGTGCCAAAGGTTCCCTAGGCTTCTGTGAGAAGGCTGTTGATTCCGTGAGAAAGCTGGCTAACACTTTGCTTGATCAAGCCCGGTCCAGAACAGGCCTCCTATTGCCTGTGTCGCACTGCTTGTTTGCGTGGGCTTTTGTGCACAGTGCTTGGCTGATCAACCGCTATCGCGTGATCGGCAACATGACTGCTTATGAGAGAGCCACCGGCGCAAGTTACGGTGGCCGCATTGCACCGTTCGCAGAGCCTGTGTACTGCCAAGTCGAAGCAAAGCAAAAGGGTGACAAGCGCTGGCTGTTGGGGATACTTGTTGGAAAGTCTTCATCCAATGACATGTATGTGATAGCTGGCAAAGATGGTATCCGCCTCTCCCGATCCATACGTCGTGTGGGTCGCCCTTGGAGCACTGAGGCCTTGCTCTACAATGAGTTGAAGGGATTTCCATGGGACTATGGGAGTGGTGTTGTCGGAACAAAGTTCGTTGCTATGCCAAAGCAACGGCTGCCTGATGTTGTGCCAGCACCTGCAGTGGAACCAGCAGAGCCCAGTGTCATTCCTGCTGTTGCGCCAGCCGTGGCGCCCGAAGACGACTTACCCGGGATACCAGCTGTGCTGTTGGGCGGGGACACCGATGACTCGGCTCCTGTGAATCGCAGCACCCGGCGTGTTCCTCCTCCTGAGAGTGCAAGAGTGATTCCGAATGCAGCCGACAGCAGCATGGCAGTGGATGAGCCCGGTGCAAACCCTCCAATGAGAGAGGAAGTCCCAAGCACCCCTGAGGCTATGCTGCCTCCTTTGAAGAAGCTGCGCTTGCAAGCTGTGACATTTGGAAGCCAAACCTACGAGGTCAATGATGAGAGTGAGTTCAACCTGGATCAGCCCGATGGCTGGGACACTGGGGCCAATCTTTGGTCCATGCCGTCCGAGAAGGACGAAAGTTTCACTGATGATGTGGTCGCCGCGCCTGGCGAGGACGATGAGCGACTGTGGTTTCCCGACAATGGAAGGGAGCCTGAGCTCGACAGCGCCATTTTGGCTGAGCTCGATGATTTGGCCGACAGTGTGGAGGTGGCTCGGCTTATCAAGAAGTCTGTCTTGAGAGCAGCCACCTCAAATGAAGACGTGAGCTTGATGAAAGGCCTGACGACGAAGTTTGTTCGAACATGGAGATTCAAGAAACGAAAGGGGGTCGGTGTGTGGTACCGTCGCTCCCGCCTCTGCGCCCGGGAGTTCCGGTGGCTTGATGACTCCAAAGAGGGGCTGTTCAGCCCCGCGACGAGCACCGACATCGTCCGACTCCTCCCTGCCTTGTTCCTGACCTGGAAGAAGACTCGCCCTTCCGAACAGTTTGCGCTGGTGGCCCTGGACATAAAGGATGCGTACCTTGAAGTTCCCCAACCAGTCCCGGTTGTATCCCGAATCCAAGGCCAGGATTTTGTGTTCCAGAAAATGGTCCTAGGGCAACGTGAAGGGTCGCAGCAGTGGTTCAACTACTTTTACGATTTCCTTGCAGAACACTTTGAAGTGGAGAAGTGCAAAGAGTGTCCTGCCGTGATCCGTTTTAGCAGCAAGTCTACAAGTGTCCATGCAAGTGAGAGCAAAGGTCCCGGCATGATACACGTCGATGATTCGCTGCTCCTGCTTCCGCTCGATTGGGCCCGTGACTGCTTCATTCCAACAGTGCAGCAGAGGTTCCAGATCACATATGAGTTGGCGTATGAAGTGGGCCATTCGTTCAGTTTCCTTAAGCGGTTGCACACGTTGACAGAGCATGGGATCACGATTCGACAGCCAACTTCGTACATCACACACATGCAGGAGATCATGAATGTCAAGGAGAATGTACGCCAGCGTGTACCATGTTGGTCTGAACTTCGTGCTAAAGACACAACCAGCGAGCTTGAGCATGTTGAAGCAAGCAAATTCCGGCAAGCTGTTGGAACCGCTCTTTACATCTCATGTGACCGGCCCGATGTCGGCTACGCTGTCCGGATGTTGGCCGCCTACATGGCAAGGCCGACAGAACATGCGAAGATCGGGTTGACGAAGTTAATCCAGTATTTGGTGAACACGGCTCACTATGGGATAGCAATGAAGGCTACAGCTCCTGGGTCCAAGAAACTGTTCGAGCATGGTTCAGAGGATGATTCTGAGCGCTTTGTGTTGGAGGCATTTTCGGACGCCGATTGGTCGGGGTCGAAGAGGGACAGGAGGTCATACGGAGGCGCTAGTTACTGCCTGAACGGGCAGTATATTCACTACGTGTGCCGATCGCAAAAGTGCATCAGCTTGTCTTCCATGGAAAGTGAATACTACAGTGCCGTTGGCAGCTCCTGTCAGGGACTCTTCATGAAGGCGGTGGTCGAGTTCATGAGCCGCAGCCCTTGCGATCTTATCGTCTATGTTGACAACCAGTCCTGCAAAGCGTTCTGTTTGCGTCAGGGGGTTACCAAGGCTAGCAAGCATTTTGAAGGTCGATTGCTTTGGTTGCAAGATGCAGTGCAGCAGAAGCGCTTGATCATGAAGTATGTTTCCACTCATGCAAACCTTGGTGACATTCACACAAAGCCCCTTTCCCCAGCTCGGCTGCAGAGTTTGCTGTTCCTACATGACTTTGTGGATATGCATGACAGGCCAGTGGGATCCGAAGAGTGGGACCGAACCATGGCGACAGAGGGGATGAAGGCCCAGGTCAAGCGTGTTCGGACAGTGGTAGGCGGCGATGCGTCCAGCACATGGGTGAAGCGTGTTGCACTCCTTCTCATGATGATGCCAATTCCTTCAGAAGCTGTTACGACTGCTTACAGTTCTCGGTCGTGGATGTGCAGCTTTGTTCTTTTCTTGGTATGCCTTGCATTTTGCATTGGCAGTGGTACAGAGTCTGATGATCATGATGGGTGGATGCTTATTCCACAGCACGACAGGCTGTTGTACTGTCGTGAGACGTTTTATGCCATTGCGGGCGTGATCTTGAGCTACGTATCTTGGAGCCTTGGGTCACAGGGCTATGGTGCGGGTGTGGAGGCTGAGATGAACTCCACGACTCAGACCACCACTGCAGGTGGTGGGGACACAGCTGTGATGCCGACCGTCATCGGCACGATGCTGGTCATGACAATTCTTGGTGGTATTCTTGTGATGCTGACCATGCGGGTCAAGAAGCTTGAAGCCCTACTGGCCGATGCCCAGCAGGCGAAAGCAGATGCTTTATCACGTGTCAGTCGTGATCTTGCAAGACAGTTGGAGCAGGCGCGGCGCCAGAACCGTGCCCTGGAGACAGAGCTCATTCGGGCTCGCGAGCGTGCAGGGCCACCTGCACAAGTTGTGATCACAGGCCGAGGCCGATGTTTCCATCACGAGAATTGCCACGTACATCAGAACAATCCGAACAAAGTGCTGACTCCTTGCAGCTACTGTCAGCATATGTTCTTTGAGTGAGCAGCCTTACGGACTCCAAGCTTTACGGAGATCCAGCTGCATGTGAAATGCTGAGAGCCACTTGCGGATACCATGCTTTACGGTGTCCAGGCTCGTTTCACTTGAGGTTTCGGTGAGTTTCGTTGTAGTGTACAGACGAATCTCAGGCGGGGTGAGGAAACCTAACATCCCTGCCCTTTGTACACACCTCATGTATAGGACAAGATGTTTTCACGTGATTTTGGCATGAGCCCAATTTCATGAGAGCATGTTGTGAATTGCAGAACTCCGCTGAACCACCAGGCTCTAAGAGTAGTGGAAAAGTCCGCTTGGTTTTTCATAAACCCTGAAGGCATGAAATTCTGAAAGACCACGCGCAAGACAGTTTACGTATGTTTTCTAAAGCCCAGACCGCTGAACAATAAGCAGGTACTTTCTTTGTCTTCAGCCACCATCCCAGGAATACGCCGCCCGACCTCGACAAAGTGGCCATGAAGCTGTGGATTGAAGGGTTCAGATCCAGCTAGGACTGCTTTGGTCAGAACAGGCAAGGGCAGTACCTGTATTACCAGCAGACGAGGTACCTGCAATATGTGACACAAAACAAATACGAATATAACAATATAAGCAATACAAGCATATCATGCAAACACAAAGCCATATATAGGCAATGCCGAGACCACGGAGCGCATGATCAACGTGGTAGTCGGTAGTCGGTATTCGGTAGCGGCAGCTGTAGAATCTTGAGCGCTGGCGGTGCCTGCAGTACTTGTGGGCAGGTGGAGCTGAAGAAACGCCGGCTGCTTGGCGAAATGTTAATTTCATTCTGCCAGACGGTATGGTTGTCCAGTGCGTTTTCTAGGGTATGCTGTGTTATTCTTTTTCATCTGGTACAGAACAGTTTGCGGCGGTATGTAGAATGAGTTCATACGTCTCATATGCTGCTGAAGCCGTTATAAGTTGCACTGCTGGTAAAACCTCAGTACACAGTATGTCGCAGTTTCGTTTTCGATCGTTCTGTGTTGAAGGATGCGCCCTCAGAACCCTTCATTCCTAAACCTTACACGTCAAGACCCTGAGCCCCGAAGCCATGCCTCCGAAGTGAATCCCGAGTTCTGAGCCCAGTTGTTGGTCAAATTCAAAAACGTATTGACAATTATGATATTATTCCCCCGCCCTCGGTGTGGGGTTGCTAGATTTTCAAGTAAACTCTTCTCTTCGCCCGGTCCACTCGAGTGCCCAAATCCAGAGTATTCTCAGACAGTCCCTGGAGTGCCCAATCCGGAGTGTTTTAGAGAGTCCCTGGCCTTGGAGTGCCCAACCCCAAATTACCCTGCAGGCTCGGGATGTTTTTAGTATAATAATGTTGCGCTTTTTTCAGATATAGTTTTAAAGGTAGCGCTGCAAGAGACCTGTACGCATAGTACAGGCTGCCCGAAGTTTGTGTTCTGTCCATATTGCTGGCACTTCTGTTAGTCGGTTAGCTGACGCGCTTTCTGGGTCCAGGGCGCGGGATGTCGGAGCTTTTAAGAGAGAATGTCCGAAGGCAGCACCCTGGTCCTCTGCTTCGATTTTTTTGAATCAATAAAGGTCCAGGGGTTATGGTCTAGGGTTTATCTGGAGTCTGCCAAGGACTGGTTGTAGGAACGCTTTCCTTGTCCTGCAATGCGGGTTCAGCCACCAGCGCCCTTAAGAGGCTACTTCCCCACTGCGATATGCATCCTGATGTTAAATTACTGTTGTAGAGAGGTGTGCCATAAAATCGTTGATAGTGTTTCTGCCAGGCAGGCCAGGGTGCCCAACTTAGCTGCAGTTGGCCTGCCAAAACCTTCAGCCCCAAAGACTATACCATGCTCTACTCGACGCCCTGCTATTTCAAACCCTGCTTTCACCTTTAAGCCTAAACCCTAGGCCCTAGATCCTAACCCGAGGCCCTAAACCTTGTGCGCCAGGGCTCATGTCTTGAGGTAAGTCCTGAGCTAGCTAGCTATGTTCAGCTCGAATCCGCCAGGAAGCCAATCACATGCATCGCCTCCGCACGCATGATGGCAGCAACAAGGAAGGGTACACTGTACTCTAGTAAACTATGTACACTGGCCTGTATACTATACTCTCGTGTGCTCTACTCTACTATACTGTACATTTCCTACTCTGGTATCACCTAGTTTTTATACTGCGGGCGTGCCAGCTGTCAGTTTGTGTCCTACTTCGCTGTTGTCCAGGGGTGTACCAGAAGTTCTGCGGCTTGAAAAATCAAGAATAACCTTAAGCTCCAGATTGCACAGTACACTCTGGTATACCTTCATCCCAAGCCCCTAGACCCGTTTTGTGGACAATAGGCTGTAGTAGACGTCTATTCCAAGTACTAGGCCAACTTACTTTATTCATTCTAGATCAGGGCAACATGTTTGTGGGGTAAGGCTTTACCCCCTACAAAGTTCGCAGAAAGCCCCCCTGGGTTCGTAGAAGGCCCTGGCGGCATAAGCCCTGCTCGCCCTGCAGAAAGCACGGCTCTTAGAGTAAGAATAAGCCTCAATCGTGGCACTTATTTTGGGAATGGTTCCTTGCTGTCTCGCGTTTCGGAAGTACTGAGGCCATCGTATGGGACTAGACGAAGGGGGTTCTTTGGGTCAACACCAAGCTTTGCTCCGAGACAAGATCACGAATGGGGTTAGCGACAAGAAAGAAGGACACCGGACTAGCGTTATGGGTTGGATTACAGTAATAGACTTTAGTCTCCTAGAGAATTTTGCAACATTCTGTAGCGTCTACTGGAAAGAGTACGGTGGGATACTGCAATGCACGATCGCCAGGGCTGTAATTGAAGCGCCTTTGAATGCAGCCAAGGCATGCGTGGGGCTGTGAAGACGTTGGATCTGCCAGGCCGTGTCTGGATGTATCTTAGCTACGCGACTTAAGAAAGCGTTTTGCCGCCCATGCTGCAGTACAGAAATTGCGTGACACAAGTGGGTTTTCTAATTCTGGCTTTCTTCAAGTTTACAACAAGCTTGAGGGCGTTGAGGGTTTTGCCAACTAAGCCTCTAAAACAAGCTTCGCCGAACTTCCTGAAGCCAAGCCAACCATGCACCCCCTTTTGAGTAAGGTCAGGCTGGGCTTTGGGTGGCCTGAGATCCTTGCAACTTTCTTGCCGTAACAGATGACGGAACAAATTAGGTACAGGATGCGCTTGCTATGTTACAGTCGAGTAACCCGTAGAAAGCCGCGGTATACTTCAGAATCGTGTGGTATGATGATGTTGTTGTTGTTGCTGCTGGCGCTGTTTTTGCTGTTGCTGCTGTTGCTGTTGCTGTTGCTGTTGCTGTTGCTGTTGCTGTTGCTGTTGCCGTTGCCGTTGCTGTTGCTGTTGCTGTTGCTGTTGTTGTTGTTGTTGTTGTTGTTGTTGTTGTTGTTGTTGTTGTTGTTGTTGTTGTTGTTGTTGTTGTTGTTGTTGTTGTTGTTGTTGTTGTTGTTGTTGTTGTTGTTGTTGTTGCTGTTGCTGTTGCTGTTGCTGTTGCTCTTGTTGTTGTTGTTGTTGTTGTTGCTGCTGCTGCTGCTGTTGCTGTTGCTGTTGGTGCTGCTGCTGTTGCTGTTGTTGTTGGTGCTGGTGTTGTTTGTTGTGTTGGTGTTGTCGTGGTTGTTGTTGTTGGCTACGGCCAAGTAGACTATGCTACAGCATATTCTTACAGTATGACAAATTGAGCACTGCTCAGGAGCTAATTATACTCTACCGCAAGAAGCTTTGCGAGCTCTTGGCTTCCCCATGCCAGGCCCTGAAGACGTCGCGACGGCGCCGAAGTCTCTCAACCGAAGTCATGTCAGCCCAGGGCTAAAGTTGTCGTATATCCCCTAGTCTTAGTACGTACCCCCATATAGCCCCCATGTATTACGTTACGAGGGTCGCGTTTAGTCCGTAGCGAATATCATGTATCATTGTGTTCTATAGTATATAGCCGGGCAACAGTAAAAAGTAAAACGTATTGTAGTCTGGTATAGTATACCCCATGTGCTAGTCTGGACTTTTTGCAAAAAGAGGTCTATACCAAGACCCAAAAGCCCCTAAACCTCGCAAAACTGAAACCTAACCTTTAAACTAGAAACCATGTTGTGCCACAAAAAAAGGGCACAGTACCAGCTCCCGGAAGGAATGAACAAGTAGGAGTTGCCGCGTACCACCCTCAGGCGTAGGCTTTTCGCACACTGTTCTTCAAGCAAGGAACAATGCTACTCTTCTTTGGGGTGATGAACACTGCTACTTCCTTTTTGGGGGTGGCTCTTTCAGGGGTCAGCGAGGACTTCCCTGGGCCTTCTCATAGTGTCTTCTGCATTCTGTAACTGCCCCGCGCTCCCCAAAGGCCCGCCTTGATGCTTCTGCCATCCTTAGACCCCTTGTAATCTCTACACTCCACACGGCTCCATAATCCCACTGGCCCTGAAGCCTGAACCCTAGGCCCTAGACCGTTCCTTTGCCTTGAGACTGAATCCTTTGTCACGTGCTCGCCAGCAGGCCTTCACCCTTGATTCTGTGGCCTTGCAAATTAGGGCATTCCCCCCTCTCACTGTAGCTATGGTAGACGAATGCATATTCTTGTTGATGCAGTTTCAGCCATCCTCTCGGTAAATGGCTCTCATCAAGTCTTAAACCCAGGTGCCTGCTCACATCGACCTCGCCGACCAAGAAGGAGCTGTGAACAAGGCATTCTAAGGGTTTTTTGGGGTTCTTCATGGGGTTTGAGGAGGTTTTGGTTTGGAGAAATTGCTTGTCGTGTTGCGGACTGTGGGATGGGGTTTCGGGGCTCAGCGCAGCCACTCCCTCGTTTGTTAGCTTGTAGCGGGTTTCGCAAAGTTCTTGTTTCGTCTGGATGTCATGTTAAATGGGTTTTGCGTTTTCATGGAGTGATGATTCGATGATAGTGGGCGTCATCAACGCAACAAGAACCATGCCGCGACAACTTGACAGTCCGTGTGACCTCAACTGCGTCTTAACCTTACATATACAATCATATATAATCTCATATAGGCTC